GGCAACTTTTGTTCCATGGGTTGATTGCTCTTGCTGTCAGAATATTTCTCCTTATTTTCAGGTTAAAGGGTATTAAGGGGAGGGGGTGCTTTCTTTACGAGGACCATCCATTGATGCTATTGTTGCGTGGTGGGCTTCAGTAGGCAAGAGCCAGACCAGCATAGTTGCAACAGCATTTATTGACTCAAAATTGGAACTGAGGAACTGCAGGCAAATGCCTGTAATTTATACCCTGGGCCCGCAAGGCCTTAATCATAATGCTTGAAAAACCTGCTCAAATATAAATGTTCAGAGTTTCCCTCCAAAACAGTTGGAGCTGACTGAGAGGGTCATCTAAAGCAGGGGTCGCCAACTTTTTGGACCTCAGGGACCATCAAACTCATAATTTTAAATCCTGGGGACCACTAATATGAATTTTGACTGAGGGTGGCTTGCTGACGTTGGTATGTGTGTGTGTGAAGGTGAGAGATTGGGGTGGGTAGGAAAGAGCGAGGGAGAGAGGGAGAGAGGGAGAGAGAGAGAGAGAGAGAGAGAGAGAGATCTGATCTAATCTCTCTCTCCCTCCCCCCCTCTCTCTCTTTCACACACACACACACACACACACAGAGGCAGGGGTGGGATTCAAATTTCTTAACAACCTGTTCTGTGGGCATGGCCTAATTTGTGGGTGTGGCTTGGTGATCATGTGATTGCCAGGGCATGGCTTGTATGTAAATATTATAAATATTTATGTAAATATTGAATTTTTTTATTTAAAAAAGAGCAACTTTTACCCCAAATCAGGCAAAGCAGACAGGCAGATTGAGTTGCTCACAGAATCACAGATTCACTTAGAGATCTGTGTTTCTGCCATCGGCTACCTGAGTCTGCATTGCTTCAGTCCTAAGGAAGGTTCGGCTCTGCTTAAAAGCAGAGCCCAAGATCTAAAGATTAGCTAGAAAGCCAGAAATCCAACAATTTCTTATACACAATAAATCTCCTGGCACAGCAGAACAGCTGTGTACAATCACGTTCTGTTAACTCCTGTGATGCAGTTGGAACTCATCGTATCGGCTCTGCCGTTCCATTAGAGTGTTTCAGCGACATGGAGAGGGGGGATCTGCTGCTTGGGTAACAGTTTATCCTCCGTATTAAATTACTCAGGCCTCATGTTCTGGAGTGGACACTCCAGCTTTGCACACAGCATGGAAACAACACAGGAAGTGGCTGTTACCAGTTTCATAGCACGAGACCATAGTTTCTTGAGACTGAAGGATGCCAATTCAATTCAACATTCATAGTCTTTGAGATAGACTGGGGGGCCCACAGATCCTGGTGGTCCACCGCAAGGTTACTGGAGAGTCCCGTTGAAGTGGAGTATTGTCCATCTCTAATTGGACAGTCTTGATGGCCGTTTTGGTCACCCATGAGTCGTGGTGGCTCTACTAAGATGGTGGTTCTCCATGGACAACAAGAGGATAGGAAGTAACCTGAGATCTATTTGATTATTACTTATAAATTTGTGTGTATCCATCATTTCCCTCGTGCCTCACGCAGGAGCCAGCATTCTCCAACCCCATCAACCACAACTGTGTGTTCTGGCTCACTGCACAACCCTTCTCCACTGCTCCAGCGGATAAATGTAAATATATCAACATACTTCCTGCCTGTCTGCAGCTCTCCTACTCAATCCTGCTTAACGGTGGAACGGATAGCACTCACCTTTCCCCAAGGTGGTCACATTCAAAAGGGCCAAGAGACAGAATCCCAAGAACATGTAGTGTTCCATCTTCTTGTTCTCTTAAACACACACACACACACACACACACAAACAAGCACAATAAGTGAAGTGGACCCAGAAGATCTGCATGGTTGCACCAGCACAAGGCCAAACCGAAAGTGGAAGAGAGAGACAGAGCATAGGTGCCTCCTTCTGTTGGGACTAGATGTGGAAACCAGGCTAGGAAGACGAAGAGTTCTAGTCCCACCTTAGCCACAAAAGCCAGCTAGGTGACTTTGGGCCAATCTCCAGGAGACAGTGAGTTCTAGTCCCGCCTTAGGCCTGAAAGCCAACTGGGTGACTTTGGGCCAATCTCCAGGAGACAGTGAGTTCTAGTCTCGCCTTGTTCAGGAAAAGCCAGCTGGGTGACTTTGGGCCAATCACCAGGAGACGGAGAGTTCTAGTTCCGCCTTAGGCCTGAAAGCCAACTGGGTGACTTTGGGCCAATCTCCAGGAGACAGTGAGTTCTAGTTCCGCCTTAGGCCTGAAAGCCAACTGGGTAACTTTGGGCCAATCTCCAGGAGACAGTGAGTTCTAGTCTCGCCTTGTTCAGGAAAAGCCAGCTGGGTGACTTTGGCCTACTCATTCTGTCTCAGCCCATCCCACCTCTCAGGGTTGTTGCTGTGGGGAAAATAAGAGGAGGAAGTTGTGTTGGCTATAACAGAATGACAAAATCGGAAGGGACCTTGGAGGTCTTCTAGTCCAACCTCCTGTTCAAGCAGCAGACCCTCTACCATTTCAGACAAACGGCTGTCCAATCACTTCTTCAAAACCTCCAGGGATAGAGCACCCACAACTTCTGGAGGGGAGCTACTCCACTGGTTCATTGTTCTCAGTATCCGGAAAGTTCTCCTGAGTTCCAGGTTTACCACCTTGAGTTATTTGCAAAAAATTGTAATAAAATGTGGATATGTATGTATGTATGCATGAATGAAAACTATGAAACTTCCTGAGCCATTAGATCGCGGACTTCCTTTGCCATCACAGGTGGGAGGGACCAACTTCAGTGGGGTGACATGGTCCTCCAAGTACCCTGTCAATCACTGCCTGGATCAGTGGTGGGATTCAAAATTTTTTTACTACCAGTTCTATGGGCATGGCTTGGTGGGCGTGGCAGGGGAAGGATACCCTAAAATCTCCATTCCCACCCCATTCCAGGGGAAGGATACTGCAAAATCCCCCTTCCCTTCTCACCCCACTAACCTGCTTTCCAGCTCCATTCTCCTGGGCAGGGCAACCAAAGGAGACCCAGCCGATCAGCTGGGACTCAATGGGAGGCAGAGAAGAGATGGGGTTGGCGGGGCCAGTCAGAGGTGGGATTGGCCGGTTCTCCGAACGACTCAAAATTTCCATTGTCGGTTCTCCAGAACTGGTCAGAACCTGATGAATACCCACCTCTGGCTTGGACCCATCTGATAGTCAAAGTCCTGGAGCCATTCTCCATCCAGGAGGGACCAGGATCTAACTCAGCGGTCCCCAACCCTTCCAGGTCTGGCAAACCAGCGGTGGTAGCAGGAGGGCTGGGGATGGTTTCACACAAGCACGCATGCCACTTTCACAAACACAGCTTCACGGCCATGCCCACTTCTGAGGCCCGGTTCCGAGGGGGACCTCAGATCTAACTGACCAGTGGTGGCCCTGATATAAATCTTTGTAGCTTCGCCCATAGTTTCTGGACTTAATTGGCAGGGGAGAACCTTTGCTAGGGCCACCTTCCTGATGTGCCCATCCTGAAGGCCAGTTAAAGTCCACGGAGTCGATAGAGACGACCGAGATGCCATTTCTTCACCATCTCGGCAGGGGTGGGCTTCTAAATTTTTAGGAAGGGGTTCTCTGCCTGGTTGCTGGGTGGGTGTGACCATGGTGGGTGTGGCCTAGTTGGCCTCCTGCACCACGGCAGGAGAGGGGACGTTTTCACCCTCCCCGGACTCCGGAGGCTTTCCTTGAGCCTCCGGAAGGGCAAAAATGGCCTCCTCGGGCTCCGGAGGCTCTCTGGAAGCTGGAAATGGGCCCCTTTCCGGCCTTTCCAAACTTCCGGGAGGCCCGCTTTTCACACTTCCTGAGCCTCCGCGCATCCAAAACGGGCCACGTGAGGACTCCTAGAGGGGCGGGGTAGGGTGGGTGGGGCCAGCCAGGAGTGGGATTTGGAGGTTCTCTGAACTGCGCAGAATCTTAGCCAGGGGCTTTCCCGAACCCCTGCAAGCCCCCAGCAGCCCCACCCCCGAATCTCGGGGCTCCTAAGATAAGGAATCTTATCTTAACAAAGCAAAAGATCGAGTTCAAACCAGAGATCTCTCTGCTAGGTATGCTAGAACCGACATGGGATAAGAAATACCGACACCTAATACTACGTATTATAACCGCTGCAAGAATTTCTCTCGCTCAAAACTGGAAACTGACCACAACTGACCCTCAGATCTAGCAGTAATTAATAAGGTGCATCAATGCGCAGAAATGATCAGACTGTGTTATTAAAAAAACAGGAAAGAAGAAGAAGAATATTTTATGATATGGAATACATGGTATAAATGGTTAAGGAAAAAGGAGTAAAGATGTTTGTGAAAGTGACTAAAGAAATTTTAAAGATGAATATGATATACGATTTAGATGTATATATGCAACGTAATGTAGATAAATAAGTATTGTAATCTAACAGTGGTGTAGTAATCAAGGAATGAGTAAACTAGTTATAGATATACTGATGGTAAATGAATCTAATTGTTATTTTTTAAAAAAATTGTATACACTGCTATGCTATCACTGTGAGAATGATATCACAGTGTGAGAACTTGTTTCTCCTTTTTAAATTTTTTAAATTTTGAATAAATAAATTTATTTATTTTTTAAAAAAGAGGAACCCCCAAATCTCTTAGAGCAAGCATCCAAGTGGTAGTTGGAAAACTCAACAACCGGCGCTTCGTGGACCCAGCCCATCATCCTGTGTCATTTTTAGCAGGATGCTGCCTTCATGTCCAGAGTGGGGACCAGTGGTGCCGGTCAGTTTTTTTTTTTTGGGGGGGGGGGGGTTGGACAGGAAAGGAGGTGCTAAGGCCCAGCAGATTCCAAAATCCTTTGGTTCAAATGAGGAGGACATCAATAAAGCATCTTGGCATCAAGGGATGGTCCTACTTAAGAGTCATCCTTCCTTCCTTAAAGCTCAGCCTCACCATGAAGAAGACTTGGGGGGTTCTGAGCTTTGGACCTCAACTGTCTCCTGGGTCTCCAAAATAAACAAGGCCAGTCATGCTTAATCAGAATTTATTTGACCTTCTGGCCATACTAGGAGGAGCAAAGTCAGATCCAAGCGAGAGAAAGCATCCATGAAGCGACAGGGTGCAGAGCAGAGGTTTCAACAGGAAGTAGGACTTCATTACTTCCTGCTTGTAACATTGACGGTGTTCGTCTCGGTCCTTGCCTGGAACTTGCAGACAAAATTATGCCTGGACCCACAGTCCTGATCGTTCCATCCGACATAACCTGGGCAGCAAAAGAGAAATTTGGATCACCTGAGAGTCCCAGATCTTTTCTGTGGCTCCTCCCACAGTGGAAGGAGGACGTGAAGATACCACAAGTGGAGAACCACATGTGTTAAAACAGGCTGGTGGGTGGGGTGGGGTTTCAGCAGGTGATTGTGACCTGGGTGCCATCATGTTTCTTTTGTCCATTTTTAAATTCAATTTATTTATTTTTTAATTTGTATCTTGGGTTTATTAATTTTACAAAGAATTCAACGCAATGAACGAATCCAACACACTGTCAGCCTCGGAATCCATTTTTTTTACTTGGAAGCTTCCAGGCTGCCATATCTAGTGCCTGGGAATTTGGGAGGAGGGATTTCGTAGTGAGGTAGCAGTTTAGACTCAACCGCGTTCTCTCCCACAGAGTCAAGGACTCTTTCAAACCGCCAGGTGTTGCCCTGCGCCTGGAAGGGAGTGACTGGAGGGAGGTCTCCAGTTGGGGCGAAGATTGGATTGGGCCATGGGATGGATTGGTGTGTGCAGGGGGTGGATCCTTAAATTCCCTTTGGGGGAGGGAAAACCCGGAACTCTCAGATTTGGGTTTTCCCAGGTGTGCCAGTAGGTAGAGGTAAAGCTTCTCCTCGCACATACATGCTAGTCATTTTCTGGCTCTAGGGGGCGGTGCTCATCTCCGTTACAAAGCTGAAGAGCCAGCACTGTCCAAAAATGTCTTCGTGGTCATGTGGCCAGCAAGGGCTAAAGGCCTTCGAAGGCACATGGAACATTATTCCCTTCCCATCAAAGGGGTCCCTATTTTTCTACTTGCGTTTTTTACATGCTTTCGAACTGCTCGGCTGGCAGAATAGAATAGAATAGAATAGAATAGAATAGAATAGAGTAGAGTAGAGTAGAGTAGAGTAGAGTAGAGTAGAGTAGAATAGAATAGAATAGAATAGAATAGAATAGAATAGAATAGAATA